CATACGAAAGTGCGCGGCGAGTTGCTGAAGTTGCCGTCCAGGCATGTGCGGATGAGGGGGTCCTTCTAAGTTCGGCTGGGGTATCCTCTCTGCTGCGCGGGGCCATCTCCCCGTGCGAGCTGCTGAGGAGATCCGAGCTGCTGTCGGGCACCATGATTGCAACGTTTGAGCATTTGCGCGCCCGCTACGGCCTCGTTGGGGTGACATCACCTACACGATTAAGCACGCCTCCGACTTTCAGGCTGCGGCTGAGGGCCGGCAGTGGTTGCAGAGTTCCCTCCTCAGCATCATAGGTCTCAAGAGGTTGGTCAGCCCGTCCGCGCAGGGCCTTGCGATGGTCGCCGATGAGGTCCTCAACTTCACCACGGTGGTCTTCCACGGGCAGGGCCTGTCCGCGCGCCCGGAGCGCTCCGCCCAGCGGGCGCGGGTGCTCGTGCAGGGCTAGTTCGACGAGGAGGCCTGCCGCATTTTCCCAGGCGACATAGAGCCTGATGCCAAGCTCGCGGCCAGTTGCGCGTCCAGGGAGGATCGCCAGATGTGGAAGGAGTGGCGTGCGATGGCGGTCCCAGTGGCTCACGTGTCCTCCACCGCACCACTGAGTACCGTGACCTTGCGCCACCTGCGGTGCCGTCGGCGCGCGTTCATGATGTTGTCCGACACGAGGTTGAGCTGAATAAGAAGTTGTGGTCCGTTTCCCGACCTGCGCCGGCCTGGATCCCTGATAGGACTGCGTTGGAGAGGGCGGCCGCCGAGAATGTGCGCGCGGTTGCTCGGGCGTTCTCCTCGACAACCACGGCGGCGCCTGACAGCGTGCATCCTTGTCACTTCCTGTTGCTGGACGCTCGAGGTGGTCGCCCTCCTCTTCTCTGCGATGGAGGCCCTCGGGCTGCCGCCGCGGCAGCTCTGCTGGCTGGTCCCGCGGATGTTGCCCAAGTCGTCTGGCTCGGGGAATCGGTCGGTGGTTCTCTACGCTGGGCTCTACAGAATCCGGCAGCGCCTGCGACGGCCAATGCCTCGGGAGTTTCCGGGGCGGACATGCGCGCCGTAGTGGGGCGCGGCGCGAGTGCGTTCCTTTGTCGATTGCGCGTGGCTTCAGGCGGCTGAGGGCGAGGCCGGCCACCAGCAGTCCTACCATGTGGCGCTGGCTGTAGCCGATTTCAGCAAGTACTACGAACGTATCCCGTTGGCCAGGCTGCGCGGAAAGTTTATCAGTTTCCAGACACCGACTTTTTCCTTGAAGTTGGTGCATCACATGTGGCGTGCACCGCGTGTCCTTCGGCTCGCCGGTCACCGCGCGGAGCAGGTCCTCTGCGCCGAGTGCGGTCTCCCTGCAGGCGACGTGCGCTTGGTATCCTCTTGGGGGGCTCTCGAGGGCCTGTTGGAGGCCTCTTGGGGGTCTCTTGGAGCTTCGTGGCGGCCTCTTGGAGCGTCTTGGAGGCCTCCTGGAACCATCCTGGGAGCCTCTTGGGGGCTTCTTGGGGCCTCGTGGCGGCCTCTTGGGGCCTCTCGGAGGCTTTTTGGAAGCTTCGCGGGGCCTCCTGGGCGCCTCTTTGGGCCATCTTGGAGGAGATCGATCAAAGAAGAGGGTGGGGTTAATTTGCCTTGCCCCCCCAAGAGGCCAGAATGGGGCCAACGCCATCGTAAAACCTATGATTTTCGCTTCCTCGCCGAGGCCGTTTTGGATGCTCCAACTACCAGCGGCCCCCCCCCGCCCAAGTCCAGGGGAGGGGGTTAGGGGGAGGGGTAAACCCCTCCCCGAAGGGGGAGAAGGGAAGATGGAAGAGGAAACTCCCGGAACCACCTGCGCCCAGAGGGCTGGTGGGATTCGATTCGGGCGTCGTCAACTTCCGCGGCGACGGCTACATCCATGATGGTCGAAGTTCAAGGCCGCGGTCTCGAAGCCCGACGCAGTTGTCAATGACGAGCTCGTGATCGTGGGCACCAGTTTACCCCTCGCGCAGGGCGTCGTCAGCACGCTCGGTCTGGCCCCCTCAGTTGCCTGTCGCAGCGCTGTGCATGTTGGAGCTGATGTCAGCGAGGGCAGTCGGCGCACCGACAGAAGGGGTCTTCTCCAAGCGCATGAATCGCAGGGCCCACATGGCGAAGCGCATGCGAAAGACCAGGCGTTTCGGGAAGGTCATCACTGGAAAGAAGGCGCAGTCCATCGGCTGCGTCATCCGCGCTGGCGCCATGCCCGAGGCCACCTACGGCAGCGAGGTTGTCGGGCTCAACAACTCGGAGTGGCTCCAGTGCAAACGGCGGAGTGAGCTTCTCGAGCAAGACGGTTTTGCTCGGTGACGGCGCAGGCGCGTCAGCCATTGCGCCTGCCATTCAGTGGCGCAGGATGCAGTGGCCGGCGGAGGTCTGTGAGCTCCCACTCGCTGTTCGTGCTCGCCAGTTGAGGCTCTGGCGTGAAGCCAAGCCATGCGAGGTCTCTGACTGGCAGTCCAGCAGGGGCCTTCTGTCTCGAGCAGTTCTTGCTGACGGGCGGGCTGGCGAGTCCTCTCTTCGATCAGTTGGATGGATCATAGGGGAGCTACGACTGATGTCAGTCGAATGCCTCCGAGTGTGCTGTCTGTCTTCATGTTAGCTGGAATGCAACGGCAGCGCGAGAAGTCACTCGCGCTGGCTCTAATGTTCCCGTTGCAGTGATGCGCGGGCCCGTGGCAGGCTACCTCCCTCAAACTCCGAGCATCGCCGAGAGCGTTGCGCTCTGTCTGATTGGTCAGATTGCCGACCGTGAGACCCTCGTTGGAAGTGATTGCCTGGCCACCATCCGTCGGTTTCAGCAGCCCGTGCAGACCCGGCTGCGTGCGTCGAACCAGGCATCGAGCATCCTCGAGTTTGGCCGTGGCCTCGAGGCCGAGGGGCGTCATTGGGCCGAAGCGAACCGTTTCGCTGATCATCGCGCCGAGCTTGCTGCTAGCTTGCATCCTGCGCCGTCGCCAGAGTTTTTGGCCAAACTCGAGCTTGCGAGAAGCCGAGCAGCCCATTTTGTCTCGCTAGCTGCAGCTGTCCCCCCTTGTTTCCTTCGGACAACCCGCAGCGTTGGCGACGGCCAACAGCGCTGCATCGGAAAAAGAGTAGTCGTGGGGAGGGGTGGCACTCTTGGGGTTTGGGCGAGCTGGGATGGCAGTGCGAGGCATGCTTCAAGGTTGCGCCGTCATGCCGCAACCTGCCTCTGAATGGATGTATCGGGACCTCGTCGTTTCTGAAGCCTGTCACGGCTGACGCGTTGGGGCATCAGTTAGTCGCCGTTGGCGGTTCTCGTCTTGCTCCGCTGCGGCCCGCGCAGTGCCGTGCTGAAGTCGAGAGTGAGGCTCGACGGGGTTCCCTGCTTTGTCTGAAGTGTGGAGGGTGGAGTCAGGAGAAGGCCATCAAATTAACCAGGCCCTGCGCCCCCTCAACCAGTGCAGGGAACATGATTATGCCTCGATTTCGGAGAGGGGTGGCCCCGAATCCCCGAATTCGTGCGTTGATCGACCGAGCCATCCCTGCCCCTCGTGTCGGTCTCAGTGTTGCGAGTGCGCGGGGTGTCCGCGCGTCGACGTCTGTCGTGCAGTATTCATCGGACAGCGTCGTCCCGTATGAAGCTCGAATGGCACGCCTCCTCGAGCGGGCTCGCGCTCGAGAGGAAGCTCGCAGCAATGCTGAAGTTTTGGAGCGGGCGCACCTGTCCCTGAGGGCGAGGGTGGCTTGTGGCCGCCATTCTCGTCCCTTCAAAATCTCTCCCTGATGGTGCACCCTGCCCCCATTTTTGTACAGGGCTGGCCCCTCCCTCCTAGGCTGGCTTCCTGGGAGTCGTCTCATCTCATCTCATCTCAGCTTCCCCCTCCCACTCCCTCTCCCTCTCTTCCCTGGCCGTGGCCGCGGCCCCTGTCGGCTGGCCGGGCGGGCGCAGAGCTCCCCTTCGCATGCGCGCTTCCCCCCCCCAACCCCCGAGCTCCGCCCGAAAAGTTTGGCCGTTTAGCAACAGGGGGGAACCCTGGTATGTACCTCCAGAAGGGGGGGCTTTTCTGACGCACGCAAAATCGTACATCGTAGGGCTAGGGCCATCCTTTGTTCGTTCATTCGAAAACCCCACGAAACCTGGGTTAGGGTCGACATATCCCCTGTTACAGCCCACTTTAGCCTCGGGGGCAATGATCGGGGGAAACAGTCGGCGGCGAGCCCGGGGTGGAAGTGAGAAGGGCCGGACGGGGCCAGGACGAGGATATATCCGTTCCAGAGCGTTCGGGAACGCTCTCCGAGCGTTCCCGAAGGCTCCGAGAGCGCCGCGACGCCCGAGATATCCTCCAGAGCCGAGATGTTCGATTTATCCGCACCCGAATTTATCATCGTCCTGGCTTTGTCTTACAGTTTTTAATTTCCACCATCGATTCGCGTCCTAGTGTCGGCCTCGTCAGTCCTCCCTTTTCCTTCTCCCTCCGAAAACGTCGTCTACTGTCGGGGTCGTGTGTGTGTGTGGTGTGTGTGTGTGTGTGTTTGTGTGTGTGTGTGTGTGTGCGTGCGTGCGTGCGTGCGTGCGTGCGTGCGTGCGTGCGTGCGTGCGTGCGTGCGTGTGTGTGTGAGAGAGAGAGAGTGTGTGTGTGTATTTGTATGTGTGTGTGTGTGTTTGTGCGTGCGTGCGTGCCTGCGTGCCTGCGTGCGTCCGTGTGTGTGTGTGTGTGTATGTGTTTGTGTGTGTGTGTTTGTGTGCGTGCGTGCGTGCGTGTGTGCGAGAGAGAGAGAGAGAGTAAGAGAGAGAGAGCGAGAGAGAGAGAGAGATAGAGAAAGAGAGAGAGAGAGAGAGAGAAACAAAAAAAACAAGTTCGATCGGTTTTTGCACCGAACCGTTCAAAACTGATGTTTCCCAGCCGCCAGCAGCTACCGATAAATGGGCATGCGGGGGGCATCTGTGTGCGGCAGTTCGGTGCACCGACGGATCCAACTCATGCGCCCCTTCGGGCCTCTGGGGAGGAGGTGGTGGAGGAGGAGGAAGAGGAGGAAGAGGAGGCGGAGGAGGAGGAGGAGGAGGAGGAGGAGGAGGGTCACCCCCCCTTGGGGGGGATCCCGATTCTCTCTCCCCCAAGAAGCCGTATGTACTGCCTCGGAGGCCGCGCGCCGCCGGGGGCAGGCAGCATCGGGAGAGGGGCCCAGCGGCAGAGCGCGCCCGAGCATCTTCGAGCGCTGGCGCCCCGCGGGCACGGCGGCGCCGGGTGAGGCGTTGGCTCTTTGCACGGGTCGAGGGAGGCAGCAGGCTCTGCACGAACACAGGCGTGGTCGCTCTCTCAGAGAAGAGAGCACTCTGAGTGGGAAAAGGTACCCATACCTCTACCCTTCGATCGTTTTCACCTGTTTGGGCCTCCTGGGAGGTCCTCGTCGCCCCCGCTGGATTCGCCTCGAAGTTCTAGTCAGAACGCACCCCAGGAGAGGTCCCGGGGGTAGCGGTATCGGTACCTGTTGGCTTCCCCAAACATGCCGTAAACATGAATTTGTTGGCGCTCCGCGCGGATGTCTTGGATCTGCGCTGGGCCACTGTGCCGATCGGCGCGGGCCCTCGCACCCCCCCCCCTGGAGTACAGTCGGACCGAGGCCATAAGATCGAGGTCGGTTCGGGGAGGATATCCTAGTGACCCTAGTGTTCCTCGTGTGTGCTGGATGTTCTTGTGCATCCTTGGACGGTGCCCTTGGATGTTCTGTTTGTTTTGGCCGATGGATTTCCTCATATTCGCGAAGGATGCTCTTCTGTCCTAGGTCCGACTGTACGTCTTGGCTATTTTTGGTGCCTGTTTCAAGCAGGTGGAGTCTACCCCACGGGACGCCCTGTTGCAAGCAGTCGTTTTGAGCAGAGGTCAGGAGCCAGACCCCCCCCCGGCTCTCCCTTCCGCCAAATAAGAAAGCGTTCACAGCTTTCAACGGTCCGCACGGATTTCTTGGATCTGCGCTGGGCCCTCTTGGCGGCGTTTCCCGCGCGCCAAGGGGAGAGGGGGGCGGTCCGGCGCAGATCCATGACATTCGCGCGGACCGTCGAAGGTTCATTGCAGTTTTCGTTTCCCTTCGTCCACGCACAGGGATGTTCTGTAGCAAGACATGGGAGCCTTGTGTACCCTCGTAAGTTTGTCTTTAGCGTCGACAAGCATCGATTAGCGTCTGGCAGTCGATGAGTTAGAACCGATTTAGCGTCGGGTAGCTTCGATTTAGCGTCGACCAGCGTCGATCTAGCGTCGACTTGCGTCGAATCGCAAGAGCCGACAAGATGATACAGGAGGCTCCCATGAGTTGCCACCGAAGGGGTGGATGGAGACTGGAGCAGGGGTTGAAGGCCCGGGAGGAGGAGGGGGACGAGGACGGCCAGCCAACGGGCCGCGCCGCTCCAGATCCAGAGCAGCGGCAATAAGCGCACGCGCCGCGCCGCGTCGGTCGGGGGACCATCTCTCCTCGGGCGACGAGCCCAGGAGAGATGCAGAGGACCCCATGATTAAGCCGGGCATGTCCCTCTACAGGAGGAATCTTCAGAAAGATTTGTTTTAATAGTCTGGAGACGATACTTGTTTTTCATCTTGAAAGGAAATAATTGAGCTTGGTTGAATATGTTTTGACTCTTTTCCATTTTCCTTCCAAGATCCGCCAGTAGGGGGACATGCCCGACCTAACCCTATGAGGAGGAGGCTGTGGGAGGGGCCTGGGCAGGGCTCGTTTCGATGCCTCCGATTCGGTTTTCGATTCGGTTTCGATGCGTTCCGATTCGGACGCGGTTCGACCTCGGATTCCGATTCGGAGTCCCATCTCACCATGCGGCCTTCATTACTACTCCTGAGATTTCCGCCGATTCGACTCCTCCCGACTTGGCTGCCGAGTTCCGCCAATCCGATTCATCTCGATCGCCGACTCGACACATCGATTCGATTCTGGCCTCTCCTGGGCCTAGGAGGGGGAGGAGGGGGGGGGATCAGAGGGCAGTGTGAGGCAGAGGCGGTAGGGATGGATAAAGGGCCAGGCCTGAGAGGAGAGGCAGGAGAAGGAGGAAGAGGAAGGTCCTGGGAGTCGGGGGAGGAGAGCACGGGAGACCTGGCTTCCCCTTGCCCTTCCTCTTCCTCCCCTCGCCTCTCGCTTGCCCGCCCCATCCCCCCGCCGTTCCCTCCCCTTTGGCTCGTATCGGACTCTGGTTTTCTTTGTAATTCCTGTCTGTATGGGTTGGTGTGTCTTTCTCTCTCCCTCTCTCTCTCTCTCTTTCTCTCTTCCCCTCTCTCTTTGAATTGCTTGTGTAAATGTATACACACTTACACATTTTATATATGTGTGTATGAGTATGTGTATATATATATATATGTGTATGGATGCGTCTCACTCTCGTTTTTGTTTATCTCTCTCGCTCTTTCTCTCTCTCTCTTTATTTCATCGCCCCCAACTCCCAATCCCCCCCCCACTCCCCCTCCCCATCCTGGTCTTGGCTCCAGCGTCCTCGTTTCTTCCCGCCGCATCGCCAGGTTCTGACCACGGGCGGATGCACGGCCACGGTCAGGCTTGCGGATGGGGCCAGCCGGCAACCTCGGCGAAGCGTTTGCTCGCGACCGGCGTTGCCTGTCGCCGCCCGTCACCCTTGTCGGTCCTTCATTCGTGCATCTGTGTGTGCGCGTTTGTTCTCGCACGCTTGCTTTCGGTAGCAAATCATGGGAGCCTTACGTACTCGTAACTCTGTCTTTAGCGTCGACTAGCGTCGAGTAGTGTCTGGGAGTCGATGAGATAGCGCTTATGATAAGCATCGGTTAGCTTCGATGTAGCGTCGATTAGCGTCGACGTAGTGTCGACTAGCATCGATTCGTAAGAGCCGACAAGGTGATATGGGAGGCTCCCATGAGTTGCCACCGAACTTGCAGTACCCTCTGCCTCCTCTGTCCTCCGACTCCACGCCCCCCTCTACAATTACACTTTATGGGCACTACTCTCCTCGACCCTTTCGAGGGCACAGGATCTCAACATGACTTGTTCTGCCTAGTGTTCCTTACAATCCTAGCGTTTCCGGTGTTTCCGAACGGTGGTCCCGCTCCAGCGCGGGCCTCCTCTCCGGAACGGCGCTCGGCTCGCGTCGTTCCGAATGGCGCTCTCGCGCAAGCACGGGCCTTTTTTCAGAGTCCGAGCCGAGTCCTTTCTCATCGTTGTCGCACCCATCACCTTCCCTCCTCCGCCTTCCCCTGGTCCTTCTGCTCCTCCCGCTCCTTCCGCTCCAGCTGCTGCTTCTGCTGTTGCTGATCGTCACCGTCTTCCTCCTTCCTCATCCTCCTCTTCCTGTTCCTCCTGTTCATCCTCCTGCTCATCCGCCACCTCCACAGCTTTTTTTTTCGATGGCACCTAACACGATGAAGTCATCTTTGGAGCCCCAGCTCCGCTGCTCTCCTTGACCTCTGCCTCGCCTCCCTTGGGTGTAGCCTTATCTGGAGGACTTGCGCTGCTTGTCGCGGCTGACGGCTCTGTGCTCCGGTCCCCCTGACCCTTCGGAGTCTCTCGCCCCGTGGGCTCAACTCGTGGTCGAGTCTCTGGCTCGCTGGCCTCACGTTGTCAATGTTCTATTTCTCGTGGAGGCGTTGTGCGACTTTGGCGCTCCGTCTCTCGCCGAAGGAGAATCGAAGGAGAAGCGCGCCGAGGCCAGGGGCACGGCAGAGGCTCAGGCAGCCTCGCCGGGATAGCACACCTGAGCCGTGTGACGTGCACGAGAATGAAGGCCACGGCACCACCCGCGGTGGGGCCGCAGCGCGCGCTGTCTTCCGCGCCAGAGGCCAACAACGGCGCTCCGTCTGTCGCTTCTGCCATCTCCCCCTCTTGCATCTTTCAAGTGCGATTTGTGTGTGATTGCGCTTTCGCGCGACAGGGCCTTGCGCTCGCACCGCCGTGCCAGACCTGGCACTCGAGTCTCGTGGGCGGCTGCGCAGTCTCGCGGACGCCACGTGACAGGTCTGCGGCACCAGGTACTGGTCTCGTCTTCGCTTGCTTGCTCGCCTCTGCGGTTTTCGTCGCGCGCGATGCTGGACGGCAATGCGAGGCGTTCCAAAAAATAGCCTTGCGTTCGAGGATCGAAGGAGCTGTCATCTCTTCCGCTGCGGAAGGGCGGCGGAAGGTCAGCAGGAGTAAAGCGAGGCTGCCTCCGCTGGCGGAAGATGGCGTAAGGCGGCGGAAGTAAATTATGCACCCCGAAGAAATTTAAAACGTTTTCGGGTCCAGGTTTCCCGACATCCGCCATGTGCGCCTGGCCATATCCGCCACAGCTTCGAGTGTTCGCGCCTCGACGGTGTAGGCAGCGGCTTTCGCCGCGAGGCCCGCCGCAGCGGCCATTCGCACGCACGCTCGCCTTCGGGCAGGTTTTTTTTACTTCCACCGCACAGTTCGTGGGCCGCTCCGCACGTTAGCGTCCCAGCCCCACACTTTCTAGACCACATTGCGGCGGATCTGATGCAAGCCTCAAGGAGTACATAACCGAAATGTATTACATGTGTATACAACATTGTATGACTATATATATATATACGTATATACATGTTGAGTTAAATACATCATACATGTATGTGTACATGTTTATGAACGTAGTATGTTTAGAAATCCATGTGTGTGTGCTCTATACATATACATGTGTGTATGTATAAAGTTGCACATGTCTATACGCATAAGTATGTGCGGAAATCGACACAACTGTACGAATACGGTGGACACCTAATTACTTATAGTGCTGAGCCAACTCTGGGTCCGTCTGGGGAGCCGGAGTCTGGAGCGCCCCAAGACGGCCTTTGATGGCCCAAAGATGGCCCTGGAAGTCCCCAGGATGCTTCAGGAGGGCCCGACGAGCGCCCCTAGACGGCCACGACGGGCCCAAAATGGTTTTATATGGGCCCAGGAATGCCATTCGACGTCCCAAAAGGGCTCACCAGGTTGCCCCAGTGGGCCCGAGGACGATTCCCAAGATGCCTCTTGGATGCAACACATATGGGTGTTCCTTATGCTTCGGTGCAAGTCTTGGCGCTTCGCGTATCCCCAAGAGTATATACGATGTGAGCGCGCAGGCTACTGGCTGGAGGTTGCTCAGCCTCGTGAGCGCACATCAGTGGTCTGCCTCTATTGGATGACGTTCTGACGCGGATCAGCCACACTTCAGCTTTAGTGAGCCTTGGTGAGGCGGGTTTCCCTCACCGCACCATCGTGTGCTCGTGGAGCCGCAGTGAGTCTGAGTTAGTTGCTTTCGCTCGCGCTCACCCCCCTTTCCGAGGTCTAGGACGGCCTGGCTCTGTGTGCACACACGTGGGTCCCGCCTGGTCTTTGGCCACTCGGGCTCGCGTTCCGCCCGTGGCCTTTACAGTGCCTTGCTGTCCGTCATGGCCTCGCTTCCAACTGCGGTTTGGCTGGAGCTTGGCGCCGCAAGGGTGACTCCTCCCCCCCGTTCCGTTGCCAGTTGCCGCGCCTTTTGCTTCCCCACAAGCAGGGCTGTGTGGGCCGGTCACCAACTGACGCTGACATGCGTCGCAATGAGGGACGTCTTGTCCCTGGCATGTGCATGCGCCATTGCGTGTGTTGTCCGCTGGAATCTGCGGCAATCTCGCGCCACGAACGGGTTTCGCCCGCCCCTGCGGCGGCAATCTTCTCGTCAATTCGTTGGCACCGCGCCCCGGATCAACTTGACCGCTCCCTGTGCGCCGCCTCGGAGCCGCCAACCCAAAAAATACCCCCAAGAGCTTTTTACCCCTGGACGCCCAACGGGCATGTTGGACACGCAGTCATCGCCGCACTCGTCCTCGTGCTTCGAGCGGGCCTTGCCTCACGGCACCCCTCTAGTTCCCCAGCGTTCTGCTGGGCTACATGTGCCTGAGTTTCCCTGGACGCCCTCTGCTCGCCAGCTCTCCCGCGCAGCCTGCTGCTGCTTGGTGAGTGGGCCGGCCGGCCTGCGGCGCGTTTAGTAGCTAATTAGGCCGCTACCGTGTCCCGGAGCGCTTCTGACTGCGCTAGCGCCTTCGCTAGCGGACGCGACCGACAAAGGTATCCCTCACTAGGCTTCAACACGACCCCAACCCTAAAGAGGGGTCGTGGTTCCCAAAGGCGAAAGGGGCAGGGGGGAAGGAGATGAATGATTGAAAAGGCGGAGGAACAAAAAGGAGAGGGGCGGGCACGGGAGGATGAGGATAAGGGCTTCAAGAAAGGCAGGGTTGCGAGGGGTTGTTAGATTTAGAGACTCATCCCCACCATAAGGCGAACATATCAATTTCGGACCATCCCGCCCTCCTGTTCCTTTTCCTCTCGCTCCACGTCCTCATCTCTCCTACTCCTCTTCATCGTCATTCCTGGGGCAGCTTCCTGGTCACGTTTCTCCCTGGCCCCGTCTCGTCCCAGCCCCTCTTCCAAATCGTCATCATCCTCCTCGCCTGTCTCGGTTATGTTGCCGTTTTGGATCAAGCTCTGTTCAGGTTGCGTCGCTCTCCTTGCGTTCGAGCAGTTTTGCGATTCCAGTTACGTTCATACGTGCATCATGCCCGCGAAGGTCGCTGAGAAGGTGCCCCTCGCCGCCTCGTCTGCTGGTGACGACTATGGTGATGACGAGGACACGCGCACCACCACATGCGGGGAGATCGGCCAGCTGCAGAAGCTGGTCGGCAAGATCTTGCTGGGGCAGCCGTTCAAGCAGGCGTCCGTGGACATGAAGGTGTTGGCCCACAGGGCGGGGAGGATTGCGAACGTGGCCAAGATGCTCGCGGATCATCCTGACAAGATCGAGTTCGCCGAGGTGCCCCTGCGTGGCGACGACTCAAAGTCCCTGCTGAAGGGTAAGAAGAGTGGCAAAAAGGCTGAGGCCGTGGAGCTTGCCAGGCTAAACGAGTCCAGCACCTTCGACTCGGACACTGTGGAGACGCTGGCCGACGTGCCTCCCGTGTGGCTCTGGGCGGTGCTGGAGAAGCGCACCAAGGGAGGCATCTCGGCCGAGGTGAAGGCGGCCATCTCTCAGAAGAGCGGGAAGCCCCTCAGGAAGATCACCACTTTCGTGGCAGGCTGGACGGTAGAAGCAGCGACACCCGCCCCCACCATTCCCTGGTGGATGGGGCGGCGCGACCGGCGGAGGAGGAGGAGGAGGAGGAGGAGGAGGAGGGGACGAGTAGGACGATGAGGTGGAGGAGGTGGAGGAGGGGCCCGGACGACTCACCTCCTGGTGTGAGTCGTTCGGGCCCCTCCTCCTCCTCCTCCTCCTCCTGCCTCGCGTTTCCTCCCAGTCGTTGCCTGTCGCATAATCTTACGTCGTTCGCTTTTTGCGCCCCCCTCAGGCTTGCCCGAGAGGCTGGCCCTCGTCGGGGACCTCCTGAAGAAGGAGTACCTCGCGTACGTCATCGTTACCAGGATCGGCGAGCGCAACAACATGCAGAACAACGGCGTCTTCTCCGAGGGCGTTGAGGTTGACTCCACGGGTATGCCCAAGCTGAAGGGCCAGGCAGGGGTCTTCGAATTTCTGCCCCAGTCGGCCGACGACGATCGCGTCGTTCAGATCAAGTGCAACATCACCAAGGTGCGCGTTCCCATGCCGCACTCGGACAGGATCACTTTCCGTTGCAGCGATGAGATCATCGACAATTATTCCGAGAAGACCGCGTGGTACAGCCAAGTGGGGACCAAGCGTTTCATCTACCCTATCTTCGAGGAGTACGCCAAAAAGAACGATGGCATGGGCTTGATCCGTATGACGCCAGTGGCGGATATCATCTCGGCCAAGGCCCAGGCCGACAGGAACCTCGACGTCATGTGCGACGCGTCCCTGGCCCAGCAGATCAAGCGCCAGAGGAAGGCCCCTGCGGGAGCGCCTGCCGCTTCGCAGAAGTGAGCGCCCAATTGAGGGCGACGTTTTTGTTTTGTGCCGTGCCCCTGTTCATATCGACGCCGTGGCCTTGCTGCAGATTACAGT